CAAACAAGGTCACGGAACGGATTAAGCTTGTAAGCCAAGGTTCCACTGTATTTTTAAATTCTTCAACCCTGAGAGCAAGTTGGAGAGCAGGGGTCTTGACACTGAAAGGGTTAAAACAATTAAACTTGATAAAAGTGTTCATTGTAATTCCTAAATTTATTGTTACACCCACTTAGAGACCATATATGGAAGCAGGCAATTAATTACTGCCATATTAGTCTTAAGAAAGGCTTAAATTTGCCCAAAATTCTCGGCATACACCTGCATTTACACCTAAATGTCACCCACCTCTCTTCAAACATTGTATCATGCTGAAATAAAGAATCTTTAACCCTTTGACTGTCGTAAGCCCTTTCTGAAACTCATTCTATGTCAAAAAAATATTTGAAAAAAAAAAATTATTTTTTCTTATGAAATGATAGAGAATCTTTTCCCGATGGTAATGACACCAAAAGTATGAAATTTGATTGAAAACTTGTGGAATTACGCTCCCGAAAAGTTAGCAATCTCGGCGATATAAACGCATTGGCGATTTCTCCGACTTTGAGCGTTATTTTCGGCCAATTCCATTGATTCAGTTGACCTAACTCATAGCAATTTCTTTAGAATTCCATTTTTTCTATCAATTGAGTACAAGAAACCGCCCATTTACCAATCTTCACTACCCAATAAAACGGTCAGAAATTGGCAATTTGGCCAATTTTACGCAAATTAAAAAAGATGCCAATTTCAAAATAGGGTCCAGAATAAACAATGCAGACATTCCTGGCACTAAAATAACATTTTCTCTGTTCATTAGTCACGTCTCCAGGCTCCTCTTATATTACTCTTGCTTTCTATTTTGAATTTTTATTCAAACAAAAAATAGAAGATTTACTGTTATGCAGACTACTGCAATATTGTAATTAATTGTATAAATAATGTCAACCCACTGATGACTGCATATTAGAATGACTAGTTAGACACTTACTGGATGGCGACATCATTTGTTTACTCTTGAACATGGGCAAAAATCTAAGAAGTATGATTGCAAATCACTTGGATTCTCAACAATTGCACAATCCAGGGAAGCATGGTTAGGTTAGAGTAGATTGATCCAGCCTCTTCAGCTACTGGACTATTATGATATGGTCTTGGATGCACTGAAAGATGATGCAGTTAAGATATTTTTTCATTCCAGAAGTATGTTCAGGTGCCAGTACTGACCGAATTTGTTCCCATAAGGAATATTGTGAAGTAGATTAGTCCATTTCAGACCCCCAAACATACACATACAAACGCACTTACATAAATACACTTACATAATTGGTCGCATTGGGAGGTGATCGTTAAGCGGGGGTCCACTGTACACAGAATTTGCAGAAGCATTTGACAAGTGTGATCATGGTGTAATAGCACACAATATGTACACTCAAGGGATTACTGGCAAAGTGAGCAGATGGTTCTACAACTTTCTAATCGACTGAATACCAAGGTTGCGAAGTTGGAGTCAGAGTTGGAAGCAATTCTTGGGTTACTGGAGTCGGAGTCAGTAAAAATGTGCCAACTCCAACTCCTAATAAATTTAAAATGTACAGAATATACTGTAATCAAGTTGTTTTAGGTGTTCAACTGCTTTTAACTTTTTTGTAGTTTTAACTTTTAATTCTTTTTGGTAATATCAAAGTATTACTTCAGATTTTTTAACTAGTAGTGAAAGATATTTCTGACTCAGATTTTCTTTTATAGTTTCTTTCTTTTACATCCTATTACCCTATATTTGATAGTCTTTTTATAAAAATATAACTTCACTGTTTCCATTTTTCAAGTTTTGTCCTTTGTTTAACCCGTAAACGGTCCAAACGTATATACATACGTTTTTTCAACATTTGAAAGCATGTAAAAAAAGTGGATCTTTTTGTTTTTCTACATTTGAAAATGTGTAAAAAATCATTGATCTACTTTTTTTTTTGTTATATTTGAAAATATGTAAAAAAAATTAAATCTATTTTTGAAGCACTACACACGTGAACGTAGATCTGCTTGGACCGTTTACGGGTTAACTATAAGGTTACTGAATGTTTCTAATTTCTTTAATAAATAAAATAAAAAAACCAAACTGGCATAGCTATAGCATTTAGAGCCAAGCTTGAACAGGTTACTGAACTTGTATGTTTCATGCTTGCAACCCATATAGCAAATACATGTATATATAATTAGTAAATTTATAATATATTCACTATATCGATATATAATTAAAGGAGTCAAGAGTTGGAGGTGCCATAAATAAAGGAGTCAGAGTCAATGGTTTTATGTGCTGACTCCACAGCCCTGTTGAACACAAAAAGTAGTGGTAAACAGAGTCAAGTTGGAGGCTGCCACAGTGAAAAGCTCTATTCCACAAGGCACATTACTTTCCCCCATCCTGTTCCTCGTCCTCATATCAGACGAATGATACTAGAATCTGCATAAGACTCATCCATTGAGGACACAGTAAATCTCCAAGCAGATATAAATAAAGTTTTCTAATGGGCAACAGACAACAATATGATGCTCAACTACTCCATTACGGAAAATTGGAAGAAATAACAGCTAGAGCCGAGTATACTACAAACTAATCACACAATATAGCAGAAAAGCAGTGTGAAGGATTTGGGAGTGTTAATGTTGGATGATCTTACCTTCAAGGATCACAGCAGTGTCATTATCACATCTGCGAGGAAAATGATAGGATGGCTAATGAAAACCTTCAAAACAAGGGATGCCGAGCCCATGATGATCCTTTTTAAATCACTTGTTCTCTCTAGGCTGGAATACTGCTGTACACTAACAGCTCCATTAAAGGCAGGTGAAATCGCAGATCTAGAGAATGTACAGAAAATCTTTACTGTACATAAAAGTTCTGCCAAACACACTTTAATTACTGGGAACACTTGCAGTCACTTGATCTGTACTCACTGGAGTGCAGGCAAGAAAGATACATCATAATCTACACTTGGAAAATCCTAGAGGGACTGGTCCGAAATCTGCACACAGAAACCACTCCCTATGAAAGCAAATGACTGGTGGACTGATGGTGCAATGTACCACCAATGGTGCCCTGCCACTGGTACACTAAGTGTCCAGGGCCCAAGACTGTTCAACAGCCTCCTACCAGGCATAAGGGGAATTACCAACAGGGAGCTATACGGATCCCTACAGTCAGTACCTAGTTGATCAGACCCCAATCAACTGGGAAGCTTGGTCAAGGACTGGGCCACAGGGGCACTGATCCCCAAAACACCCTCCAGGAAAACTCCACACAGACCTATTAAAATCCCATAAAACAGACCAAGGGATATAGGGGGCCCTACCCTTCCTTGTAAAAATCATCAAAAATCAAATATTTCAACTATTTGAGCACTGTTTCAAGCTACTGCCCATCCTGAAACCAACCAAAATCATCTCTATTTCAGTAATATGTCTTCCAATCTATCAAATGATACCAAGAAACAGCTAATGGAACAATGAAAGCATCTTAGAAAACATTTCAAAGTCGTTATTTATCCGTTTTACTCTCGGTCCCATAATATTACGGCTTGCAAGTTAGTGTCTGTCCCGTAATACTACGCCAAAATTCTAGCAGCTTCCAATCTTGCAAGAGAAAGCTGGTAGGCCAACATATGAGAGAATGGGTGTGAGTGGTCACTGTGTGCAGTATAGAGAAAAATCCTGCAGCATGCAGTGCATGAGACAAAAACTCTGACCGTGATTTTGGTTTAAAACAGCGACTTTGCGGTGTATTTTTGTATGGTATTTATGGTTGTATTCTTGTTTTCTTGGTCTCATTTGATAGAATAGAAGATATGTTACAAAAATAGAGATGATTTTGATTGGTTTATGGACTAAAAGTACTTTGAAATTAAGCTCAAAATAGAGGAAATGTTTGATTTTTGCCAATGTTCAAGAGTAAACAAATCAGGTCATGCATCCAATACACATCAAATGGTGGATCTAATATGCTTTCACAGATGCACTGATATTATTTATATCATTTTGACAATAATGCAGTAGTCTGAATAACAGCAAATCTTCTATTTTTGTGTGAATAAAAATTCAAAATGGAAAGTAAGCGTAATGTAAGTGGGGCCTAGGGACATACCTAGTGAACAGAGAAATGTTGTTTTAGTGCCAGGAATGTTTGTATTGTTAATTCTGAACCCTATTTTAAAATTAGCCTTTTTTGAATTGTGTACAAAATTGGCCAAATTATCAATTACTGATCACTACTGGGTAGTTGAAATCAGTTAATGGGCAGTTTCTTGTACTCAATCGATGGAACAAAAGGAGTTCTAGAGAAATAGCTATGAGTTTGGTTGACTGGAACAATGGAATTAGCCGTAAATAGTGCTCAAAGTAGGCAGAATCTCCGATGTGTAAATATCACCGAGATCGCTAACTTTGCAGCGTAATTCCATAAGATTTCCATCAAATTTCATACTTTTGGTTTCATTTCCACTGTTGCAGGGACTGCAACAGTGAAAGGGTTAAACCAAACACAAGATCAAAGGTTTGCTTTTCCCATTAATCACCATGTGGAGCAGGATTTTTTTTTCTCTGTACATTTCCCTGACAGACCCATTCCCTCATGTCTAGGCCAAAATTTACCATTCACAGTATATTTGAAACACTGCTTAAAACATAGATCTGCACAGGTGACACTGGTGTCAAAATTGTAGACCTATGTAAGTGTGTGGGCAAGAGTTAATGAAGCCAGACCAAGAAACAGCTGCATTACCAGATCCAAAGACTGCTAAAATTTCCCATGTCCAGAATGAGTCAAGTACAGATGTCTGAGGGCACCAAAATTAATAATCTTCTTCATAAAATGTGGTCAATACTAAGAATGCTCTAATGAAGGTAACCTGTTTTAAAGAATTATGATTTGCCAACCTTATGTCAGTGCTGCTGAAGTCACTTACATGGGATCTGGTAAAATATGGCTAAATTAAGATGAAAAAAAAATGAGTGAACAAATATACCTGCAACTGAGGAATTATCTTCTTCATTTGTATCTTCTGTGGATTCTTGTTTTTTTTTCAAATGTTCTGGTAAAATCCCTTCAGGAAGATTACCAATAATTTCTGAAGTTAATTTCATCCGTTTGAGATCAATATCTGGACGAGGCTTACAATATTCGTCGTTCAGAGCTCTGACCTCTTGAATGGGATCATCGGGGTAATTAAAATTGTTTTTCCACACAAGCATTCCTTTCTTCCAATCAGGTTTCTCAGCAAATTTATAAATCTTGGCAAAGCACTCGTCCTGGAACAAACAGGTAATGCTTTCACTAACAAGAAAAGAGCAAATTCTCTCCAGGACATATTTTAACTCATTAATGTCTTTTGCTTAACAAGTTAATGCGAAGGAGAAGATATAATGAGTCGGTAGACTGCTATGAACTTTCTATTATCATTCATTCAGTGCAAAGTTTTCAGAGGATGTTAGATATTCAACAAGAATGAAAAATGAAGTTTTAGAATGCTGTTCAGAAAAGATGTGTAAAAATCTGAACAAAAAATTTTAACAAAAGAAAAACTGCTTAACCTCTCCCATAGTAAAAATTAAAATAGAATTAACCCTTTCACTTTCAGTCCCTTAATATTATGGCTTGCAAGCCAGTGTCAGTCCCGTAATATTACGTCAAAATTCTAGTGCCTTCAAATCTGGTGGGAGAAAGCTGGTAGGCCTAGAAGTTAGAGAATGGGTCTGTGTGCTCAGTGTGTGTGGTATAAAAGAAATTCTGCAGCACGCAGTGCATGAGAAAAAAAAAAACTCCGACCGTGTTATTGGTTCAAAACACCCACTTTGCGGTGTATTTTCATATGGTAGTTATGGTTGTATTCTCATTTTTTTGGTCTCATTTGATAGAATAGAAAATATATTACAGAAATAGAGATGAACCATACCCCCGGCCGGGATTGAACCCGCGGTCATAGAGTCTCAAAACTCCAGCCCGTCGAGACTCTATGACCGCGGGTTCAATCCCGGCCTGGAGTATGGTTTATTTGCAATCGTGTCATTACGATTTCTTGAGTCAGAAATAGAGATGATTTTGAATGAGTTTGGTTGACTGGAACAATGGAACTGGCTGAAAATAGGGTTCAAATTGGGAAAAATCAGCAATGTGTAAATATCGCCTAAACCGCTAACTTCGCGAGAGCATAATTCCATTAGTTTTCCATCAAATTTCGTACTTTTGGTGTCATTACAACCGGAAAAGATTCTCTATCATTTCATAAGAAAAAATTATTTTTTTTATTGAAAATTCTTCGACAGTGAGAGCAAGTTTGTGTGCAGGGGTCTCAACAGTGAAAGGGTTAATGACTCATTTTTATATACTCTCTCCATTTTTTCCACAATAAAGGCAGATTTAATTACTGAAATAGCACAATATTAAAATCAGAATTTTCAGATAATCCAGATGTATCAAAAAGGAGCACATGTTAATTTAATAATTTAATTTCTTTAAACAGGAAAGCAACAGAAAGAACTTCTTTACGAATAGTAAGGACTTTAAGAGAACGCATCACATGTTATAATTACTAGCAATGTTAAAAAATTGCTGAGATATTAATTAAAGAATCAGATCACCAAAAGCATAGGTCTATTCTTGTAACTACACTTGTAACTACACAGATAATGATCACTTACCCTTGTTTCTGGGAAGGAGAAGTTACTGACCATTTGCAGTACAACATTGACATTGTCAATGGATCTCAGCTTAAAAACCTGTGAAAAGAGCACCAATGTGAAGAAAAGTCAATCCTTGGAAGTACCTGATTACTAACTCAGGAACCCAGGAGGGTTGGTAACCCATGACCTTCCATGGGTGAAGAGTGTGTGCACAGGAGGCCTGGTCACAGACCGGGCCGCGGGGGCGTTGACCCCCGGAACTCTCTCCAGGTAAACTCCAGGTAAACAGTACAAAAAGAATAAAAAATCTTGTTCCACATAGAGCATGATGGAAAAAACAAACCTAAATTTGTTTGATTTAAAACAGCAAATGAGGTGTTTTCTAGGGTAGTTTTCAAAGTTGTATTGACTGTTTCTTGGTATGAGTTGAAAGAATGGAAGACAAGCTTCTTAAACCATACCCCCGGCCGGGATTGAACCCGCTTCTTACTGGAAAATCTTAAATACAGTGGACCCCCGGTTTACGATATTATTTCATTCCAGAAGTATGTTCAGGTGCCATTACTGAACGAATTTGTTCGCATAAGGAATATTGTGAATTAGATTAGTCCATTTCAGACCCCCCAAACATACATGTACAAACGCACTTACATAAATACACTCACATAATTGGTCGCATTGGGAGCTGATCGTAAAGCGGGGATCCACTGTATTAGAAAACCTCAAAAGAAAGTAGTAAAAGAAAAAAAAAAAATACAAAGTGAACTGCAGTCGCTGATGTTGCCAACAGCTGGTCATCGACCATCAACTTCACACCTGTATATATCAGTAAGTACTGATAAAAACATTTTTGTTTTATTACCACCGGAAAAATATACTCCTTTAATCTCTAAGAAAAAATAGAAAAAAATAACTTTGAAAATTTTTTGGATACTTGAGAACAATTTTCAGATCAGGGATCTGGACCATGAAGTGGTTAAGCCAATTCCATTCCTGGATTCAACCAAATTCTTAACTATTTTGCTAGTATGCCTTCTGTTGTATCAATTACCTGGAGTATACCTGGAGAGGGTTTTGGGGGTGAATGCCCCCGTGGCTCGGTCTGTGGCCAGGCCTCATGGTGGATCTGGGCCTGATCAACCAGGCTGTTACTGCTGGCCACATGGAAACTGACATACGAACCACAGCCCCGCTGGTCGGGTACTGATTTTAGGTGCCTGTCCAGCGCTTTCTTGAAGACAGCCAGGGGTCTATTGGTAATCCCCCTTATGTATGCTGGGAGACAGCTGAACAGTCTTGTTCAACTTATAAACAAGAATTACAAGGGCTGCTAATGACTTCTGTAGAATATATCTACCTTAAAACAATCTCCAGGACTCAAGTCTCAAGGACTCAAGTACAGTGCCTGCAATCTGAAGGAGGGGTGTTAATGTTGCAGTTTAAAAACTGTAGTGTAAAGCACCCTTCTGGCAAGACAGTGATGGAGTGAATGATGGTGAAAGTTTTTCTTTTTCGGGCCACCCTGCCTTGGTGGGAATCGGCCAGTGTGTTAATAAAAAAAAAAATAAAACAATCTACATTTGACAGTTTTTTTAATCAATCTATTATTCCAATTTTGCATTTAATAATTAAATAATTTAGTGTTTTTATTACCTGCACTGTGGTAGCACAACCATTTTTCATGAACACAATAAATGATAAATGGATCATCAGTCACAAGACTTACAGAGGAAAAATTCCTAGATATCCACCTTGACAGTAGCCTTTAGTTCCGGACACACGTACAACAAATCACCAAGAAAATCTCCAAGACTGTAGGCATACTATCAAAGATAAGGTACTACGCTCCACAATCAGCTCTCCTGACACTGTACCATTCACTCATATACCCCTTTATCTTACATATGGAATTTGTGCATGGGGATCAACAACATCCAATCACCTAAAACCCCTCATAACCCAGCAAAAGGCAGCAGTAAGAATGATAACAGCATACTCCACCAATTTTCAAAAGTCTGAATCTGCTCACCATTAAGAACATCCATACTTATTCATGTGCCTACTACATACACAGAACAATACACACAAATATAAACCCTCCACCAAACTTCTCCTCACCAACTTAAACAGGACACATGACCACAACACAAGACACGGATCTATTTTTGATATACAGTGGACCCCCGGTTTACGATATTATTTCATTCCAGAAATATGTTCAGGTGCCATTACTGAACGAATTTGTTCCCATAAGGAATATTGTGAATTAGATTAGTCCATTTCAGACCCCCAAACATACACGTACAAACGCACTTACATAAATACACTTACATAATTGGTCGCATTGGGAGCTGATCGTAAAGCGGGGGTCCACTGTACCTCGTGTCCATATCACACTATGTAAAAACTCTATGCACATAAAGGGCCCTAAAATATGGAATTCATTACCAGTAAATATTAAAGTAACCTGGTCTGAAAATCAGTTTAAGACTCTTCTCACAAGCCACTTAATCACCATAGATTAAATGCTAAATACTCAGTACACACATACTCACCTATGTACTCCCACATCATAACTTCAACAATTACTTTGAACCTTTTATCCATTGTTGACAGGAATATAATTGAACCATTGTTTTTCACAACAAGCATTTTAAACTATATGAATATATTCTTTGTCTTATACAAATTTAATTCACTTATAATAATAACCTACTGTACAACCTGATAAAAATCCTTAGTATTAAGTGTGTGTCAGCCAATAATGTTAAGTTGGCCCATAATGATAAGGCATAATAGAGGCTCTCTCTGCATTGCAACCCACTATTGTATATATAAAATCTCAATGTACTGTTTGCAAAAACATAAATAAACAAATAAAAATAAAAATTAGCCACTATTTAATAATTGCTGGAGCAGCAATGTTTACCTCAGGAACCAGCTTGATGGGTATATCAATAAAGACTCTGCCTCGTGCAGTGACACAAGTAACTCCCAGTTTCTCCTGGCACTCTTCTGCTGCAACCTAGTGAAATAAAGAAAAATAACTAGATATGTTTCAATCATATTAAAAACCCATAACAAAAAACTTGGGTATTTTTTGCAGGCTGGAATGGATTAATAGCATTTCAATTAATTTCAATAAGGAAAATTGATTTGATGTACAGTATGAGCAAATTGAGTTACGAGCCTGGTCCCTGAATGAATTAAACTCATACGTCAAGGTACCACTGTACTGAGAGTAAGTTTGTCTGTCATCATCCAAGTGGATATTTTCAGTAGTTCATCGTTACAGTGGGTTTGGATGAGAGAAGACATATGTAGAGTCATCTGCAAATAAACAGGTTTAGGGGAGTTTAGATGCATTTGGAGGTTTAATTTATGTAAATGAGAAAGAGAAGTGGGCCAAGGACACTACCCTTTGGACTCCAAACAAAAACAGGTTGTGTAGTTGAAGTAACCCCATTTGTGTATACATACTAGTGTCTAATGGTTAAGAATTGATTTTAAGTAATTGAGATGTGTGCTGACTCGTAATGTTCTAGTATTAGGTGCAATACGTCACGATTAACATATCAAATGTTTTTGTGGGTCCTATGAAAAGTCCCCAGGGTTATTTTTTTTTTGAGGCCATATATAAAAGGGTGCAAGCAAATGTATAACTGCATCATTATACTATTTTTCGGGCTAAATAAAAAAAAATCCAAACTGACAGGTGGGGTGGTAAGGAACGGGTCATTAACGAGGAGAAATACTGAATGGGTTTGTGTCAACACACCTCTGAAGATAGGGGATAGAAGGAAATTCAGGCATCAGATCAAGAACCTCTCACAGCTCAAGGCACCATCCCTGGAGGTAAAGGGCCCCAACAGGAACATGGGTGCAAAGTCACAGCATGGGGTGCAAAAGTCACAACCATGGGTGCACAAGTCACAGCATTGGAGTGCACAAGTCACAGCATGGGTGCATAAGTCACAGCATGGGTGCAAAGTCATACATGCAGTGCACAAGTCACAACATAGGGTGCACAAGTCACAGCATGGGGTAAACAATTCACAGTATGGGGTACACAAGTCACAGCATGCAGTGCACAAGTCACAGCATGGGGTGCACAAGTCAGAGCATAAAGTGCACAAGTCACAGCATGGAGCTCACAAGTCACAGCATGGGGTGCACAAGTCAGAGCATTAAGTGCACAAGCCACACCATGGGGTGCACAAGCCACACCATGGGGTGCACAGTCCACACCATGGGGTGCACAAGTCACAACATGGGGTGCACAAGTCACACCATGGAGTGCACAAGTCACACCATGGGGTGCACAAGTCACAACATGGGGTGCACAAGTCACAACATGGGGTGCACAAGTCACAGCATGGGGTGCACAAGTCACAACATGGGGTGCACAAGTCACACCATGGGGGCACAAGTCACACCATGGGGTGCACAAGTCACACCATGGGTGCACAAGTCACACCATGGGGTGCACAGTCACACCATGGGGTGCACAAGTCACACCATGGGGTGCACAAGTCACACCATGGGTGCACAAGCCACACCATGGGTGTACAAGTCACACCATGGGGTGCACAAGTCACACCATGGGGTGCACAAGTCACACCATGGGGTGCACAAGTCACAACATGGGTGCACAAGTCACACCACGGGGTGCACAAGTCACAACATGGGGTGCACAAGTCACAACATGGGGTGCACAAGTCACACCATGGGGTGCACAAGCCACACCATGGGGTGCACAAGTCACACCATGGGTGCACAAGTCACACCATGGGGTTGCACAAGTCACAACATGGGGTGCACAAGTCACAACCATGGGGTGCACAAGTCACACCATGGGTGCACAAGCCACACCATGGGGTGCAAAAGCCACACCATGGGGTCACAAAGCACACCATGGGGTGCAAAGTCACATCCATGGGGTGCACAAGTCACACCATGGGGTGCACAAGTCACACCATGGGGTGCACAAGTACACACCATGGTGTGCACAAGTCCACACCATGGGTGCACAAGTCACACCATGGGGTGCACAAGTCACACCATGGGTGCACAAGTCACACCATGGGGTGCACTTCACTATAAACAAAACTGATTATATCCACCAAAAAAGTTATGACTGAAATACGTAAATATTAAAATACACTTCACAGTTCCTATATACAAAAAAATTAATGTTAATACTGATCACCTGTTCCAAATTATTTACAAAATATGTTAACAATAAACTCTGGAAATATCACCCTTGGTATTTAAAAATTCTGTATATAATAGACTTCAGTTGTGGATGAAACATAATATACCTCTTCCAGTCCTGTAACAACTGTTAACTCCAGTGTACATATTTCACGATGCTCTGAGAGTAATCCTTTAAAAGCTCAGTGTTTATTTTGTTTTATAGAAGGCGCCATGTTGGTTGCTGTTTGGGTCTTGAGGGCCACCAAAACTGATGTTTTGGGGTCTTGAGGGCCACCATAACTGACGTTTTGTCAGCCCTTCCAAACCTCATGTACCTGGAGTTCGTTACCTTTGTAACTTGTTCATCTATCAAAAATAACAAAAAAAAAGGCACAATACCGTGACCGAAACGATATACAAATAACCCGCACATAAAAGAGAGGAGCTTACCACGACGTTTCGGTCCGACTTGGACCATTTATGTGCGGGTTATTTATGAATCATCTATCAAAACTTTAGGGCCCAGTCCCTGGACCCATTATGTACCTCTGTAATCCTTTTGACTATCGCCCACAGGATGGGTATAGGGTGCATAATAAAGATATTTTCCATCTGTTATACACCATTTCATTTTAAGGGGATTAATTTATTATTTAGTATATAGACTTTCGTGACAGCGACACAACACACGGACGTTCCTAACAACACCTTGTGAGTCTGGGTATAATGTTAACACCTTTCCCAGTGGCCACAATGTTCGATGTTCGGTTCAGAGAAACAAACCGTTCATCTACAATCCTGTCAGACACTGTAACTTCTTGGGATCTTAATACTTGGGAATTCTTCGCTTGCCTAACCCTTGGGCACGACCTACTTCCCCATTGGACAAATGTGACACCACCTACGACTGCTGTACCTCTCCTGCCTACGGTTTATAAGCTACTTCTCCGCACATATGATGTATTCTATTCAAGATTGATGGACTGACCACATCGACTCAAGGTTTAGGGACTGATTACCTCATTCTCCTCCTGTTCTTCACGTTTCTCCTTTGTATGGAATGATGAAGCCATTGTGTGGAGAAACGTTTTCCTCAATAAAGATACTCAGGAGTTGCACATGTGTCTAATTTATCAGCCTGATCATTATTTGATTAGCTTCGCTGATGATAATAATGATTCACATCACCGGATTCTCCAACACCCTAAACATCCTTAACAATGTACTTGCCTCGTGTCAGAACCTGGAGTTGATTATCTCCACTGAGAAAACAAAGATACTTACATTTAGATTTTGCCACTGAAGTGACTAGTTTCTTGTGCACCCCATATCCATCCTGTGGACGGTAGCGCAAGAGCAAATGGATACACAAAAGGCCTAGGAACTAGGCCCCAAAAGGGTTAACAGGTGTACATATGGGTTTATATCTACATATCTACAGTTCCCTTATCTGTTACAAGCAAATTTAGGAAATTTGCTTAGTATATCTGGTATCTTATTTTCATTAATAAGATATCTTGGCATGACACATAGGTTATTACACTGTCTGTCTCTGTATTCCCCAATAATTGGGCAATTAAGCACATAGTGTTCAAGAGTGACCATATGCCTGACCACTTTATTTACATTTAGTTTGATCATCATCTGTGTGTCTCCCAAACTGCCAGAAGTACTTGTAACCAATCCTAAGCCTGGCCACTATAACATCAGTCAGTACTTGTAACCAAGCGTAAGCTTGGCCACTACAACATCAGTCAGTACTTGCAACCAAGCCTAAGCCTGGCCACTACAACGTCAGTCAGTACTTGCAACCAAGCCTAAGCCTGGCCACTACAACATCAGTCAGTACTTGTAACCAAGCCTAAGCCTGGCCACTACAACACCAGTCAGTACTTGCAACCAAGCCTAAGCCTGGCCACTACAACACCAGTCAGTACTTGCAACCAAGCCTAAGCCTGGCCACTACAACATCAGTCAGTACTTGTAACCAAGCCTAAGCCTGGCCACTACAACATCAGACAGTACTTGCAACCAAGCCTAAGCCTGGCCACTACAACATCAGTCAGTCTGTTCACATTGCAAGTTGCTCCATAAACATACTTATCTATGTTCATGTTATCATAGTGGGTTATAGATCTACTCAGCCTTCTAACTGCATTCCTATAACATTCATTTTCATTATTTACTTCTCTCCTAATATTATTCCTAATGCTAGACACAGAAAACAGGCGTCCTCCTAGACAGAGAGGCGCAGTTGGCTAGATCTAAGACAAGTGTACACTGGTTGTTACAATAGTCACGTAATCATTCGTCGTTGAGGTTCATTTGGTATAAATCGGCCTCAATCCGTAATTTAGAAATTGTTGACACGTTCCTGAAGAATTGGGCTACAATTCGGCTACAAGGACGGAAAAATAGGGGACTCTGATCCTTCCCAATAGCACGATGCTCTTGAGTACGTTGATGATGTCAAAAGTGCAGCAATCTCTGTTCAGTTGCAAGCAGTTTGTAAGAAAGAAGCCCATGACTCTTTGCTTCGAGACTTGCCTTGGAACTGGCTGCCAAGATGCCGAAAAATGCTTAAAGTAAAAGGTTCTGAAAATAAACACGTACAAACTATGCTATTTGCTCTTAAGTGCCTGCACACTATAGCCAAAGCATAATAGTTTTACCATCTTATGAGCAAGAGATTGTATTAACTCACTTCAATGGATACATTACAAATCTTTTCATGGAACATTGCTTCCATCAGGAAGCGGTTGCCTGACTTACATCATATTAGTGCAACCAAGAATATTGATGTCATCTGTTTGCAGGAATGTAGACTGAAAGATGGAGCACCTCTACCAAAGTTGCCTGGATATGCAGCTTATAACTTAAGGTCAACCAACTGTTGTGTGATATATGTCAGAAAGAACTTGCCACATTCACTCCTTGCCTTGCAGAGTCGAGTAAACATGCAGTATCATGGTGTCAGAGTATATGCAGGCGATTTTTCCATAAACATTCTTAATCTCTATGCCCCAGCGAACCAGCTTCGACCTGAATGCTTTACCAGATCGCATCAATACTGAACCTACCCTCATTCTTGAAGACTTAATGCCAGACATAAGAATACTGGTGGGTCTATAACAAACGCCAATGAACTAAACTACTGAAATTCTAAATGAGCATGATAATGTTTGAATTGTGGCACTACTGAGCCTACTCCACAAACTTGACAATTATGGTATACGAGGCCATGTGCTTGCATATTTCAAATCCTACCTTACTAATAGGTATCAGTATGTCACCATTAAAGACACAGCATCATCAACACGGCCACTTGATACCGGAGTTCCGCAGGGAAGTGTCCTTGGACCCCTGCTCTTCCTCATTTACATCAATGATCTCTCAAACGTATCCCAACACCTGAAATCATTCTCTTTGCTGACGACACGACTTATGTCATCTCACACCCTAATCTTGCCACCCTCAACACCATTGTTAATGAGGAGCTGCTCAAAATATCGACTTGGATGACAGCCAATAAACTTACACTTAACACTGACGAAACCTACTATATGTTTGGTAGCAGAGCAGGTGTTGCGCAACTTAACATTAAGATCGACAACACTCTAATTGCCAGACATAATGAGGGCAAATTCCTAGGCCTATACCTCGACAACGACCTGAATTTCAGCACCCATATCCAACACATAACAAAAAAAGTATCCAAAACAGTTGGGATCCTCTCCAAGATACGATACTACGTGCCGCAAAATGCCCTTCTCACTCTATACTATTCAATCATTTATCCATACCTCACCTATGCTATTTGTGCTTGGGGATCAACTGCAGCAGTAAAGGTCGAGAACCAAATGCTAGTCATTGTGGTAGTCTACAAGCCTCCGGATGCAACATCCCAGAAATTCCAGGAACAGCTGTTAAAAATTGACCACTGTCTGGAAAATCTTCCAGCTCCTGCACCCAACATCTTGCTCCTGGGGGATTTCAACTTAAGGCACCTAAAATGGAGGAATATAGCAAATAATATTGTTGCAGAAATAACACCAGGAGGTAGCTCTGATGAAAACTCACACTCACACGAGCTTTTAAATCTCTGCACAAAATTCAATTTAAACCAGCAAATAATAGAGCCTACTAGACTGGAGAATACACTAGACCTCATCTTCACTAACAATGATGATCTGATAAGAAATGTCACCATGTCAAAAAGAATATACTCAGATCACAACATAATTGAGGTTCAGACATGTATGCGTGGAGCCCCAGACCGACATGATGAGACTAGTCACGAAGGAGCATTCACCAAATTCAACTTCAATAACAAAAACATAAAGTGGGACCAAGTAAACCAAGTCCTAACCGATATAAGCTGGGAAGATATACTAAGCAACACAGACCCCAACTTATGCCTAGAACAGATTAACTTGGTGACACTCGATGTATGCACAAGGCTTATTCCTCTAAGAAAAAGGAGGAGTAGATGGAAAATAGAAAGAGACAGGCGCACCCTTTACAGGCGAAGGAAAAGAATAACAGAGCGGCTAAAAGAGGTCAATATATCTGAAATGCGTAGGGAGACACTGGTCAGAGAAATAGCAAGCATCGAACTTAAGCTAAAGGAATCTTATAGGAGTCAGGAATCGCGGGAAGAACTAAAAGCTATAAATGAAATCGAAAGAAACCCAAAGTATTTCTTCTCCTATGCCAAATCAAAGTCGAGAACAACGTCCAGTATTGGGCCCCTACTTAAACAAGATGGGTCCTACACAGATGACAGCAAGGAAATGAGTGAGCTACTTAAGTCCCAATATGACTCAGCTTTTAGTAAGCCGCTAACCAGACTGAGAGTCGAAGATCAAAATTAATTTTTCATGAGAGAGCCACAGAATTTGGTAAACACAAGCCTATCCGATGTTATCCTGACACCAAATGACTTCGAACAGGCGATAAATGACATGCCCATGCACTCTGCCCCAGGGCCAGACTCATGGAACTCTGTGTTCATCAAGAACTGCAAGAAGCCCTTATCACGAGCCTTTACCATCCTATGGTAATGCTATGCATAGTATAAGTGGCTTTGGCATGCTGCTCTTATCTGTATTTTTTGTACCTCTGTATGTGTGCTCAAATTTTTAAATAAATAAATAAATAAATGGAGAGAGAGCATGGACACGGGGGTTGTCCCACAGTTACTAAAAACAACAGACAT